AGCATATTTGAACTGAATGAGTGTATAAGCATTTTTACAACTAGCAATATTAAAATTTTATAGTAATTTTAGTTGTCGCATTTTTTCCTAACAAGTTTTAGTCGACATAACGCAGCAAGTAAATGTTCCATAACTCTCCTGTCCATAATAAGCGTTTAAGCGTTTTCCTCGTTAATGAAATATCCCTCAACATTCCTGAAAAAAGCATTGGTCACTCGATACATATACTGCTCACGTTTCGCACGAGCTAACTTTATTAAATTCGCACGATCGCCTTTCGCCTGGGCGCGGCTTTGTTTTGGACGGCGTCGTATTCAATACCTTGAATCAAATAACATTTTGCTATTTTTAACTGTCAAATGTGCCAACATTATCTTAATTCATTACTTTAACTCCATTGGTTTAAATTAACATTGTTTTAGTTAAATTAATGATTGAGTAGAAGCAGTGGCGATTTGTATAGGAACTAATGATAAAAAATGACTCAAATTGAGTATAATAATCTTACACTATAACTTTAATAGTGTAATGCTCCAGGTTTGATCGGCCGGCAGGAATTGCATCAATTTTGATTTCTCTCTCTCTCTCTCTCTCTCTCTCTCTCTCTCTCTCTCTCTCTCTCTCTCTCCCTCTCTCTCTGTGTGTGTGTGTGTGTGTGTACTAATTACATGTAGAGCTTTCGCGGACAAGAGGCGGAGAAGCGGTTCGCGATTGGATTGCTCCTCCACTTCTCCCACGTCCTGCGAAGGGTTGTCTTGTCTATGTCGTGCTTCGAAGTGCTTCGACGAGGCCGTGTCCCTGAGGCAGTGCTCCGAGCACGCATGCTCCAGCCCCGCGCGCATTTTATATTCATGTATATTTAGCCGCTGGCCGAGGGTTGTGTACGGTCTGACGTGGCCGACATCGCCGGAGAACTCTCCCCGTTCGTAGCGTGTGCCGCATGCCGCGTACGCCCGTTGCGCGCGGTCGCACGCGTCCACGCAAGAATTTAACGCGTAACGCGTAAGCCTATAGCTCTCGCTCTCGCGGGAGCGAGCGCGAAAGCGAAATTCGCAAGGGCGACCGATTTCACATCCAATTTACGCTACTTGCGCTACGCTATTATTGTATCCCGCTGCATTGAGAACGCGCGCAACTCATCTCCATCCCGCTCCACGCTCTGCCTTCATTTTGCAATTCATTCGTCTGTTAGGATTGTCCCGTTAAGAGCGAATGACTGACCGCCGATTTCATTATTCCGCGCCTCTTTCTCTCTTTCTCGACCGGTTGCATTGAATCGTTCAGATTATGAAATTAGCGGGAAACATAATTATTGCGACTGCATATATTACGGTTCTATATTACAATTCCGTTTATTTTTATAAGTATGAGTATAAGTTATCGATACGCGTAAGTAGTTGTTGTTACGTATGAAATTGTTGCGCCGCAATTAAATTGCTGTATGTATTTTTACACGCGCGTGAGGTGTCCCTGATGTGGCAAGCAAAGTCCCTCAAGCATTTAATATAAACATTACATTGTGCACAGACATTGTTATATTTAGAAAATCGATAAACACATTTAGGATAAATGTCAAGACCAATTCTCGCGCCACGATGGGGTGGCTAATGCAGAAGCATTTTAATGCGAATATAATGTATCGAGTGCGCGAATTATTGAATGAGGAGTAACGCTTATATAGCTGGGTCCGTCGTTTCTTACATATCCCACTTGCATACACGTACGTTAAGTATATCTATTTTTTTCGTCTCTTTACAGCGCGCAGAAAACATCTCAGTCTCGTCTCAGGTGTCATTAATATGCTACCGAGAAACCCCGCGGGAGGAGGACTGCGTGGACGGAATTGCGACGTAATTTCACCGAGATGAGGTCTATTCTCTTATTCTGTCGGAGAACAGTCCTGTCCTCTCTCGCATTACGCTCCCCGTCGGAGTCGTAGACCTGAAGAAACCCTCGCGTGTGTATATTAATAGACACCGACAGAGAGAACGGTATTGAGGCATATCAACATCGTAATTCACGACGTGGGCGTCGCGAGAGTCTCCGTTCGTTGCACTACCTCTCTTTTCGTGCTGACACCGCGCTCGTTCCTCTCCGCGTTCCGGGCGACTTCGACCAAACAATATCGAGTGGAACGATTTCGAGGTGAACCCCGTCGTGCGGCGACGGTATGCTCGCGAATGCTATCCATGTCGAAGAACGGAGAAATGTTTATGATTACTTTCTTTTTTTACAGTAATATGCAGTAATGTCGGTGTTGCGATAGAAATTGCAGCGTTGTTTGAAATCAGTACGACAAGGTGACAATCGGGAAGTTGCTGATGCTGAAAGCTAAATAGCTGTTATTTTGTAACGAATAGATAGAACGAAATGAGTTTTAAACACTACGCTGTAAAAGAAATCTGTCATTTTATTCAGCATGTACGTGCAAAGAAGTGTACATTACATTTGTGAATATGTAAAAATAATAAACACTGTAGAGAAGCCAGAAACTCGGCCAGAAACTTAGCGATGTGTTCCGAGGATCTTGACCATTTCTATGAAAATAATTTTTCTGGAATTCTTCAAAAGTTATTAATGCTATAATTTACATTTATTAACGTTGGAAAATGTATTACATAGTTTAAAAGCGTCACAATTATTGCAGATAATGTCATTTTGGAAACATACGTCGCTACACCATGAAACCGGTCGAATTATTTATTACATTGGTCCTCTTTCTATAATATTTATTTCTGCAAGTTGATATATCCTGCAAATTGACGTATATCCTATGTTCTAATAAAAATGACAAATCTCTGAACAGTGTAGTATTTAATTCATTTCATTCTGACCATTTATTATAAAATAACAGCTATTTAGTTTCAGGAATTTCCCGATTGCCATCCTGTACGATTCAACTATTGAACATAATTATTTTACAAATTTTAACGGTTTGAGATTCGCGGACACTTCTACCTCGCAATCTTCGGCCCTGCTGTATGACCAATTTCAGACTCCTTCGTCGGTCGATGTAACTCAATTGCTGCGTTCCGAAACTGAACGTACTGTAAAGTATCGAAAATCTATAGTTCACGTTGCGTACACTATAGATTTTCAGTACTGTCGGTACATTTCGGGACACACCCAATATTGGCGTCGGATCACCGTATCCGAATAACGAGAAGTCAGAACCGGAAGTTAGCCCTGTCGCACAGCTGAAAGTACTGACAGCATTGAAATTATTGAATATTACAATACTGAAAATCTATAGTTCACATCGCGTATGCCAGTAGATTTTCAATACTGCCGGTACATTTCGGGACACACCCAGTATCGTCGTCTCCGATCAACGCAGAAGTCGGATGTTGTTTGCGGTGCAGGTGGAGTTACCATATAAAATTTTCAAAACTAGAATTTATAGGCCCGGACATTTCGCTTGCAGCCCCGGACACATATAAAAACGCGAATAAGTTAGCAAATAAGTTGTAACGATAAACAAATAATTATTTTACATCTCTTTTTAGTAGTACGTAGAATAAAATGAACAAAGTAAACATGTTTTTAATTTAAAAGAAGTTTTATTATTAAGTACCTATCTACCTTATTGTATGTGCTATTGTCAGTGGTATTTAGAAAATATCAATAAAATAACAAATATATTAAAGAACCGAATTAGCAAAAAAAGTTTTCTTTCTCATGGTTTCACTTTTACACATTAACATAAATCGGTCTTAAAATCTAGGTAGGTAAACATTTTAATCGAGACTTTGAAAATAAATAATCTTTGACAGCAACCATAAAATCGTAAACCTTAAATTATCATCTTAAACTGCACACTAATGTTACAATTTGTAACTTACAAACTGTGATTAAATATAAAAAGCAAAATATTCAGGAATTTTTAAAAACTCTGGACATTCATAAAAAGGAGAACGGCTAGCGGCCTAGTTGCAGGGCCGAAAATGAAAAGGATGTACAGTCGGGTCGTGACGGAAGACTGAAGAGATACGAGTTTCAGGTACGACTGCGTGCAAATTTTGTTATTCGCGTTCGACTGAGATTCGATTAGTCCTCCGTCCTGTCGGGAATCGAGGACGGAGAGGGATTGCACACGCGTAATGCGAGTACGCGGTTTTGTGCGGGCCGAATCGTCGATCGCGGCATATAGGCTCGCCATGACACACCATCCGCCACCCGAAGTGCAGCGTCGTCGTCGTGTCGCGGTCGTGTCGCCTTGCGTTGCGTTGCGTCGCGTTGCGTTGCGTTGCGTTGGATGTGGAGGTGTGCACGCACAGGGTCGTAGCATTCGGGCGACGCGACACGTTCGCGCCGCGCGGCCATCGATCATCGATGAGCGAACATGACGGACGAACGCTCTCACACGCCACGAGAGATGAATAATAATCACGAGAAACCGAGACAAGTTTACCTTTGTTATATAAGTGGGTGGAGGCAAGGAGATCGAGATGGAGTGAAATATACGCCCAGAGGGTTCTTGACTATGATAATAAACGCCCATGTAGCGCTTATTATAGCATCAATTGTAACAATAGATGCTAGGAGCGTAAACTCCTTCGCGGCTTTATTTTATTAAAATTCCAAAAGCCAGCCGTCGCTGTTAAATAATGCCCGCTACGTTCCGCTACGATTGGCTTTAACAGAGTAGATATAAAAAGAAACACGCGCGATGTGCGCATACATTAGCTTAGCACTTAGCAGGTCAATAGGTGATAATTCAATTTTTTATAATAAAATTATAAATTAATTATAACTTATTTTATAAATTAAATTATAATTATATGTAAATATAAGATTATAATCACAAATTAAAAAATTTTATAATAAAATAAAACGTTAAAATTATGAAGATTCTGTTTCAATTGCCTTTTTTTCGCGAATTCTTATAATTAACTCATCCCAAACACAAAGCAGTCACCGCGCCTCGTCCCGGGAAAGGTACGGCCCTGACGGGGCGGTTGCGCGCGCATCGCGAGTGTATACCGCGCAACAACAAAAATACATTGTCCGGTGCATTTGACGGCGAACAGTCGACGCGCGAGCATCCCGGTCCCGTGCAGTTCGGGTCGTTGACGTACGGAGGAGAGGCGAAAGAGAGAAAGAGAAAGAGAGAGAAGGGAGGCGAGTCAGGCGAGTCGCAGACGAAGACAAGAACGGAAAACGGGCAAGGCGCCAGCGTATTTTCCACTTCCTCGTGCGGCAGCGAGAAGCAGCGTATAAATTCCTATTTCTCTCTCTCGCGCGTGCAAACGTCGCGGAATCAGTGAATTCACGAATCTCGTCGGTACATATTAGTGAGAGTGTCGAAAATGGTGTCCGGCGGGATGACTTGCGTCAAGTACCTGCTGTTCCTCTTCAACCTGATATTCGCGGTGAGTAACGGCCGCGGAGAGACGGCTCTAACGGTGCACAGGCCGCGATTGGGACTCTCCGGGACGCGAAAAAGGAGAACGATATATTAACACCGACGCGCGGACGCTCGCCGTTCCGCTATTCTCGGCGTCGCGTCGCCTGGCGTCGCGCGCTGGGCGGGCGCGGGCGCTTTGTTGTATATCGGTCAGGCCTCCGGAGCGGAGCATCTGGGGATCGACAATCTCGACACGCTTCGCCTGCCCGACATCAAAGTTCTCGGCGTCACGTCGCCGAACCGGCTGCTGCCCGCCGTTCGCGTTCGCGTGCTACCGAACGATGAATCATCCGGCGCCGCGCGGCCGCTTCCCGTACGAATTATACGGGACGTAGAGTAACTTCTGTTGCGAGTCGCGAGCCGCGTTTCCTCGAAGACGCGCCCGACTTAATTGACGTCGGGATAACTCGGGTTGACGATGACGACGGGGTTGGTCTCTCCGCGTCTCCACGAATTTGACGATATTTAGGTGCTTTCCATTTACATCAAAACTCAGATAATTCTCACTTGTGACGTCGTTCTATCCTTTTTGGCAATTAATGAATAATAAAGACAGAATGACATCACAAGTAAGAATTATCTGAGTTTTGATGTAAATAGAAAGCAACTATTTTCAACGAGTTTGCCCCGTTCTTTACTTCGATTGTGGATTCGAGCGACAGACACGGCAGAGATTCTCAGATTATTTTGTTATCGGATGTAATATCCGAATGCTATATAGATGGTCGTCGATTTTATTGTTAACGCGTGTCGCGCGCGTTTCTTACGGTTACGTCGACACGAGGCAATCTTGGGGCGTATTGGATCGATATTACGCACGGCTCGATGGCGAGGAGGCTCTCCGACTCTCCTCTCGGAATCTTTTCTATCCGTCATTCCGTTAGGTTTTTAGAAAAATTCTCTACCAATATTGAGAGACGCGTGCGTATCTCCGTCCAATGTCTCGACAATCTAATGACAATAACAAATCGAATCGATATTGTATGGCGTGACCGAAACCGTGTAGCGCGTTTCTGAATAAATGATGTAAATACGGAGGGTATTCATTTCGAGGGAAACTTCGTGGTGTGCTTATGCTCCAGAACCTCGGGAGCGTAAGCGTTATGGATGAAGCGATCGATACCCCGCCCCCACCCTCCTTTCACGTTTAACGTAATCTAGAGTTCACTCGTTCAACATAGTCGTGTGTGTGTATGTGTGTGTGGGCGCGCGCGCGCGCGCGCGCGACACCATTACGTATAAAACTTGTAATATGTGTAAAATCGCGTAAAAAATTCAAGGCCGAAATTCCAGATACGGCGCAATTGAATCTATCTAACGAAGTATCGTCCTTTATCTAATAATATTTTTATCCAATCAACTTTCTTTCATCTAACGGCATTAATGTATAGCCAGAGTTATCTTCCGCAGGAATACAAAGAAAGGAAGAAAAATAGCGATTGTTCAACTGAAAGAGAGATATCGGATACCGGCAAACGTGATACATAAAATTCACTCGGATTAGGACCAGTTTTTATCACCCTCGTGATGATTGTGACGAAGGGAAGGTGTTAATCACGTTGACGGAAGACGGAAGAGTTTATTTAAAGACACCTGGGCGCCGATACAGAACTACCGAAAGCCATCGCGGTTAAGTCCCAGGAGAGACTCCGCGCGCATAAAGCACCGTCGTCGCCCGTGCGGACGGACGGTCGGAAGGATCTAGGACACAAAAACAACCCAGGCAAAGGACGGCAGGGCGGGGTGTCTGTCGCGCGTCCCTTATTGTAACGCTTAATGATCCGTCCAGCGTGAAATGCCAGCGCAGCGACCACCACAGTTTATACACGGAGCGTGCCGGAGGAAGTACGGAGAGCTCCGACGGCCGTGGCTTTGTTCCCCGCGATAATCCAATTTCGGTATACTCTTCTAGCTAGGGGACGCCGCGCCGCGTTCCTCACCTTTTCATCGAACATATATATGCATTCGACATCCTCAGACCCTATGGAATTTCTAACTCCAGGTAGAATCCGACACCCGAGCTGAATGACGAAGGAATTAATTTACGAGAGCGGCTCTCTTTCAACGACATCCTTTTACGAAGACGGGGCTAGACTTTAAATCTTTCACAGGGGAGACGGCGTGTATACGCGGGGTCGCGTTCTACAATTCGCTTTCTAGGACAGCCCAGATCGTATGGATCGTCGCGCGTTGGGCGCGTCCTCGTTGCTGAAACTTTTCAATAGATTCATACATAAAGTTCGCCGTGGTAGAGTCACCTGTTAGCGTACTACGGCGTACGGGTCTCCGACGGGTTGCCCGTCCAGGCGTCGCTCGAGGGCGAGCGAATCGACCGGTCTCGTCGGTCGGGTTCGGTTTCGCTGCCTCGAAGGCCTACTACGGGCCGCGTGTAAGCGAACGTAGGTGAGCCGTAGGTGAAAGACACGTAGGTAACCACATAGGCAAGGGAGAGAGGTCTATAATCTTCGTCGGGACGGCGACGGAGCGACGTAGCCTTCCTACGACGCGATGTCTGGCGGTCTCTCTCTCTCTCTCTCTCTCGCATGCGCGTGCCTTTTTTTCTTTCTCCCCTCGGCCGCGTAGAACGTCGGCAGCCGTGCGTTGGAGAGATGTCTTTATTTAGACAGATCTAGCAACGGTAACGAGCGCCGCCGACCCGGCCGACCAATTTCTCTTGGGCTTCGGTAGAGCCCGATCTCTTCTGCAACGACGCGAGAAAGCGCTCCGGAATTTCCGGAAAGTTACGCCCTTGGGTTTGTGTCAACAGCTCGGAATATAATTAAATGATAAACGAGCTCGACACGATGTCCTTTTCCGCGCACGTAGGTGTCATCTTATCTGTAACGTGATGAAGAATCATCAAACTTAGAAGGCCCGGCTTATGCAAACCGGTCTCTCCTACGCCAAAAACTTTTGCACGGAGTGTTGTTGATACTCCTGATTGTGCTGGTCGACCGCGCTTTTTCCTCGGCGGTTTTCTCGACACAAAGTTGACGACAAAGTTGTAAATGTTACCTTTCAATCATCATACAACAATGAATTTCTTATGCTAGGAGTTTCTCGGTAAAGCCGCCGCTTTCGTAATCTACCCGCGAGAGTCGTTCTCGCGCGGTTATATCTCGCGCTGAAAGTGACTCGGCGTAATTATAACAGTTTTATGCGCTTCCCGTTGGCAAACAATGCGGCTCTTACGCGATCATGCTTTCCACTTAGAGCTGTTAGCACGGAAGAAAAGTATTGAATGTCTGTCCTAATAACTCCAAGTGTCGGTCGCTCCTCATCTCTGAACATTGCAGGAAGCAGAAAAATGTTTTTCCAGCAATACCAAGTTTAACGAGCGCACTAAAGTTTTCGTTAATTATGTATTTACGAAATAATATGGGCAGGTATATATTTCTCAAATATCGTATCGTCGGTGTTGTAAGAATGTAATAATTCTAATTAAAGATTTCACTTCATGGAAGCGCGTTTTGTGAAAGTAAGCGCTAATCTAGCACGCCAAAAAAAAGATACAATTTAAATTCGTATGCACGTATAAGAAACTGGAATAAAAAAATAAAGCATGTTTTTCGTAACTTTTTAAAAATTAGTTTCTCCGCTAATTTTTCCTTTCTCCGATTTGAAAAAGATATATATAAATGTAAATTGTAAGTTTTTATTTGAAGAAAATATCATAATTTTTTATAAAACGCGAAATCATAAAAATATAGAACTACTTGTAATAATGCATAACAAATAACTTTGGACTAATAGCTAAATGAATATTTATCTTGCAAGATAATATGAATACATAATTGATTATAAATAAAATAATAAAAAGACTAACGGTAAAAATATTTTATGTATTATTTCAGATCACCGGCATCGTATTTATTTCGGTGGGCGGAGTGATTATGGTTGTTTACAGCGGGTACAGCAACTTTGTGGATACTTGGTTCTTTGCAGCCCCGCTCTTAATGATAATAGTCGGTATCGTAGTCTTCCTTGTATCATTCTTTGGATGCTGCGGAGCTGTAAAGGAGAATCATTGCATGATAATAACGGTATGGTTTTGAAAAGATTATTATAAATAACTATATTAATTAAATTTATCTCTTTTTTCCATAACAATAACGTGAGATTTTGTCTTATCTCTTTAATAAATATCTTTTATTATTATATATGACGTAGCAAAAAAATTTTTTTAAAGTATAACTGAATCGAAAAGCCTGTATTTTGTACAAGAATTTGCTAGGGACACAATATGTCCTGTATATTATACCTGTGCATTAATTTTGATCTATCATAGTTCTCGGTCCTGCTGCTGATGATATTTGCTCTGGAATTGGGCGCCGGAATCACAGGTTACATGATGAGAGGAGAAGTTGCTAATATGTTAGAAAACCGTCTGAACGGTACTTTGCGACAGTATGAGATTAATCCGGATATTCGTCGTTCATGGGACATCATGCAGCATGATGTGAGTTCACTAAATGATTTGTACATAGATGCCTTTACAACCATACATTTAGATCTTTATTCATTGTTGTAAAAAAGAATATTTTTTATATTATTGCGTAAAAAGAAAGTCCTCACTAGCTAGATAACTTAATTGTAAGCCGTTAATAGAATTTATATTTACCTGAAAATTAAAATATGATTATAGTTACAATGCTGCGGTATGAATAGCCCTGCAGACTGGCCCCGTATTGGTTTCCGTGATAATACCGTTCCTGATTCCTGCTGCAAAGAGTTTCCTGCTCAGAGCCGATGCGATTTGAATTCGATTCACGTGTACGGTGACGGCTGCATGTTGAAACTGAAATATGCTATAGAAAATAACGCTTTGATCCTGGGAGGCGTGGGCATAGGGGTAGCCCTCATACAAGTAAGTTCTAATTCAAACTATCATTTATACATTATATTGAAGCTGTATTAAAATACTTGTGATTTAGAGATTCGAGCAACTATCGTATTCATTGATAAAAGAGAAAAAAATTTATTACAACGTTATTTTTATAAATAACATTAAATACATAATATTCCGATGTACATACTAGTTAGTAACAGTAACGAATAAAGGATAAAGCTTAGCTATCTGGAAAAATTGTAAAACAATACATTCTTCTCTTTTTTTTTCAGTTGATTGGAGTAGTCTTTGCGTGCTGTCTGGCTCGCTCAATTCGCCGCGAGTATGAGACTGTGTAAGCTGATAGACACAAATTTTCATTGCAACAAGCCTAAAATGCACTTGTATAAAACCTGATCTATTACACAAGCTGTCACTATTTTTTTCCCTTATTTCGTTACCATTAACCATGCACAATTATAAAAAAAATTTCTTTCTTTTATTGCTTCTATTCTTAACACATTGCAAAGATGCCGTTAATTATTTTTCGTCAAAGAGTGCGTGATAGGTCAAAAACGATTTAAAGATCTCCAAAGAATGTCACTGCTATTTTGATACCTGGGCCTTATCTATCAGGCATAAAATATCACACACGTATGTTTTGTATGTTTTTACAATAGGCTCTCGAACAACTTTGTATATTAATAATAACAGAGTATCTGTTACTCTCGGAGATCATACATTTTTTTATAAATGTATATCTAATTTATTCAGTGTCATTGTGATACTGTTATAGTTGAGCCACGATAACCATACATCGATAACAAAGTTATATAAAATATAAATCACTATAAAATGCGCTAAAAGCTTCTTTTTGTTTAATGTCTGCTTCACGTGAATAATTGTTTAGCTTATTAGCAAAAGTGTATTTTTGTCGTTTCTCTATATTTTTGCTTCATAATATTTCGCATGATGTAGTGCATATTGATATTGTTGTCGAGGCTCTGCTATAATATTCAGCAGTATCATCTTCAAGTTTTAAGAGCATTCATATCTCTTAAGACTTCATTTTGCTTTCGAATCGATATATACTATTATGAGAGTATATTCAAGTATGTTTCCAAAAAACATAGAGAGAAGCACATTACATATACACACAGCACACAAATAAGTAATCGTAAATACTAAATGTATGAATTTTTGTAATTATATTTATACATCATTATTATGTGTTTAGTTCAATATTTCAAGAATCACAAAGCATTCTGAAAAATGTGCGTGGATACATCTGTTCTAACAAATAAGATTTATGATGTGAGAAAAGCAAGTAATTTAAATAGCTCAAGATGCAAAATGAAGTATTAAGAGACATGAATATCTTCTCAGCATTAACCCAATGGTGTATGATAAAGGGCATTTCCTTTATTGCATGTTATATAATCCACTCAAAGAGAAAATTATACTTTAACCAGTTAATAGGATATACTATATTTGTGAACTGCAAAGAAACTGTGATTGAAAGTAATATGTGTCAATGCGCAATTTGTTTTTTTCTTTTGGTATTTACTTTTACTTTGTAACTAAATGATATTCTTCAGATTAATGAAAAATTTCCGTATTTAATATTAATTGAAAGACACAAAGAGAAGTGTTAGCCTCAATTTGCAATTGCATGTTAACTATCACGTATATGTTGCCGCGCGCGTGCTGTGCGTTTAATATAAACAAGAAACACACTATATACCTAACATTAAGATATTTTATTGTTTACCACAATGTAAAGTTTACATAGTGTTACAATCATGAAAAATGTCTTACGAGATGTATAAGTGTATAGAAATAGATGAAACGTAATAGTTGTTCATGTTATATATGAAAAATATAGTAAAGCGTGATTCATAACAAAATTATTTCAACAAGATGACTCAGTTAAATAGCAATAGAATTGCTTCAACTTGATATTATAAAGTGTCGTTTCAAGTCCAGTGTTGGCAATAATACTTGTTATTGAAATATACATTTTAATAGTAATTCACACAGAAACTGTGAAGTGTTATCTTTTGTTTTTCGTTGTTTGTACTATATATATACAAAATTATATTGCTTAATATGCCGTAAAACTAGATGTTTTTTTTTCTAATATTTTATGTTCATACCTAGTGATTTAATATTTTTACTTACAGCGAAACCACAGCACACTGATCTGCCATCAATTAGGAGGCATTTTTCATAATATTGTTCATCATACATTGATTAATAAATACTTGTAGATTCATTACGACCGTAATCATTCTTATTGTGCTTACAAATATATACTCAAAGAGGAATGATGTCACAAGTATTTAATGTACAGCGATACCTTAAGTTAGCGATGTTTTGGTATATATGTATGTAATTAAAACATGTAAAATTACATACTTTTAAAGAGAATGCAAACTAGCATCTCTCTTCATTTCGCTTTTTCTTATAAAATGAAAAAAAAAAGAAACGGAATAGCAATATGCATTGAATATTAACATATCCTGTTATAAATTTAACTGCCAATATCTGCCAAAAATATATGTCACATGCAATATAAAAGCAAAAAGGAAAGAGAACAACTAGTCGAAAATGTATACGATCCTGTTTACAGAGATTATCAACGGAACGTTGATCAATTTTGGCACACGCATATGACAGGTGCCTGTTAAATTATGTGCCATGATGTAACGTCTGCTCTATTTTTTCATGTGATACGTTTATACGAAGTTTGGTAATCTTTTGCGAATTATATATACAATCTGTATCATTGTAGGAAATAGCATTCAATGTAGCCATCATTCCTCTTAGTTTTTTGCCAGATTTAAACGAAAGACAAAAAAAGAATTTCTGCATAATCTTCCTCGGAGTGCAGAATGGACAAATTGTGTAACGGTTAATTGCAAAGCAAACCTGTGTTCTGATAATTTAATATTACCATAAAATAGTATGTATTATATTTGAGTACATGCAGTCTTGGCATCTGTTTTTAATGCCTCCTCATCTATTTCTCTCTCGACAAAAAAAAATACAGTCTCTAATACTTATAATATATACGATGTTGTAGTAATCTTGTATTAAATTTATAATAATTTTCTGTGTTCTACGAACAAAAAAAAGAAGGCAGTGTACTCTTATTCGTAATCGACGGTGCCCCGTGAAATATATATACGTATGCGTGTATATATAGTGTCATGTAATATCAGATGTACACAAAAATTCTGTACATTATTGTACCAATGATGTAACAAAAAATTAGCGCATCTTAACATCTAGCTCGATTTAAATGGAGTATCAAATGGAAGCTAGCTCTATTCTGTCAATAATTTAGCTTGTAATGCCAGTGAACTCTGATATTGATTCTCTTGCGCTTCATTGTATTATAATGCTATTGACAGTTTATCGCGGCAAAAACATTTGTGCATGTTTAGCGCTAAGTTCATTCATATTTGGGACCAAAGCAAAAGGATTAACATTATTTTTTACCGAGTAACAAGTTATTTCTGAAAAGAAATAAATGCTTCAGAACAATTATGTGATACATTAAAACTATGAATAGAACCTTTCTTGAACCTTTATTCATAGGATTCCATTTTCCAGTATTCAGAAAAAGCTTTCGATATAATATTGGAAAAGGAATTAAATGAGAATGAATATAAAACTACTTATTCATTTGCTTCCATTCAAAGGAGAAACATTTTTTGTAAATGCAACTTAAAATTGGATGCCAATTGGATGACATTGAATAACATTATGTGCGTTTAAGTACACCGAAAATGTACAGTATTCTTTTTAGATTTATACGTAACAAATGAAAGGGGAAAAAAAGTTAGAAATTTCACTGCGTCTTGTCGATTTCACGAATTCAAGTACCACGATTCAAAATGAATTATGTAAGTTTCTGTAGTCTTGTGTATACAAATGCATGGAAATTTATAACATTCCTTTTAGACATATATACCGAACGTTATTAGAACGTGTATATGTCTGAAAAAATGGATAACGTATTTATTGCAAATAATTTATATGTAAGAACAAAGAGTATTGATATATTTACTATTTTACAATAATGTTGAAATAATTTAAATTTATCATCGGCACACACACACAGACACACGTACACAGTGGCAAATGCACAAGATCTCAGAAATAAACATGAACGTCCGTAGGATAAACCATAATTGCAGGAACATAGAAATAATAGCTATGAGATATTAAAGTGTGCCTAACATAGTAACGTTTATGTTATAAGTTAATAGAGATTAGAAAGCATTTCAATGATATTAATCTATCAATCATGCGTAATGTAGCTTTGAAACTAGCACTTGTCCAAAACGTTTGCTCCTTTTGATTATATAAAATCATCTGTTTTGTCAGAGATTTTAATTGAAAATTTTAGACTCTGTACGTATTAATTGTACCAGGCAACGCAAAAGACTGACGAAGATTATTGTAATCAGTATTAACTAACATTGGTATTTTACATACAATATATACATATTATATATATTATATATATACACATACACACACACATACAAACGCACACACACACACACACATATACACAAATGACTTCGTACTAAATTCTATTTTGGCTGCTTACGTTACTTTTATTATAAACGTAAATTATTAGTCAGTATCGTTAAAGTGATACAAATGTAATTTCGTTATTACAATATAACTAATTTACGGCATTTTAGGAGCCAACATGTCCTTAGCACATCATATTCATCTAGCTTTTATGTATACTAATAAATTTAATGACACTAACAAGTAGTGTTTTCAATCGAAATCCTTCCCATTTTTCTGAACCTTTACAAATTTGATCTAAATTTAAACTAAATCGTAGAATATATTTAAAAATATTATTTTTAAGAAAATATAAGGAAAGGTAAACAATAACAACTACCGAAGAGACCAGCATATAATAAATTGTATTTCATTCGTTATATTATTAGTTAAAAGATTGTTTACCAATATATAAGACTGACCTACGTACATTTGCTTTTTTGTTTTTGATATTAATACCTTTTATATGCGCAAATAAAAACAAAAGAGTGTTCATGGATCAACGGACATTGCGGCATATTATAATTTTAGATTATCAAAACCGTATGGCATAAATGTCACAATGGGTTTATCCTTGTTTTTCATACTTTTTCTTTACAAGAGACTTTAATGCGCTTCAATTTTCAGATTGGTTTTAAAAGAGCTGCGAGATCCATTGTTTTGTTAATATTCTGATAATTTTCAAATGCACCCGGACATGTACATGTATTACCTTATGTATAATGATCTATTTACAATCCCGAGACGGGATTAAGACCTATCTTTTAATTCATAAAGATAAAAACTGCATATTGGCTTACAAAATATAAGAAGCCAAAGTTCGTCGACTAAATTAAGGTCCAAGAATATTCAATTTTTTGTTATTAGTAGGAACTCACGCGATTCGCATATTCTGCACATGCATTTCACGCAATATTTACATTCCTCGAATTTCGTGGCGAAAAAGATGTAAAGTGTCTACTTTACACAATAAACTGTACAATATCAGTGTTCGTTAAGCAAGCTTCTCTCCTTCGCTTTCTTTTCTTTTTGTTTTAATTAATTACTATAATTACACTCACGCTACCCGATATTTTTAAGCAACTATCTATATTTTAGAACAGATATGTACAAAGTGATTTTAATCACCTTGCTCGTCTAATTGTCACATGATATAAAAAATTATGAGAAATTATTTAGGAGATCTACATGTATACCTGACACATTGAAGATAATGAAAGCATGCTCGGATTTTAAATTTCGAGTATGCCACGAAATCGATATGCAAGTATCTCTTCAGATACAATAAAATATGAAAAGTTTAAGAACGCGGTGGATTGCACCAACATTGGTTAGCGCTTAATCGTTAATTTTCTTTTCCTACGTTAAAAACTAAAGCTACGATTTATTTAAAAAAAAAAGGATAAAAAATTGCTAACCAGAATTAGTGAACCAGGATTATTGGTGCAATCACTAGGTAAAACATCAATTTACGCATACGTGTGTAGTTTAGACAGAATATAAATCCAGGTCAGAATTACAAATTTCTTGAATGTACCAACATTTAAGTATGCAGTAAATAATATTTATTTACAGTTACAATATATATTTTTGCGGGTGGGCCCAGACAATTTAATTATGTCTGCTAGCGCAAGCATGACGTCTGCTTCTCTCGTGCAGAACGTTACAATTACTGTATTATGAACACAAAATTGAATGCGGTAGTTTTGCAGTAGCTAAATTATAGTTCCATGCTGTTAGCCTTACATCTTGAGTTAGGCGTCACATGTGCGAACATAATAATTTAAATTTAAGACAATTCAATATAAAAATATGGGAGTTTAATTATGGAAAAATGGGCCTCTACACTTACGTTTTTATCGCATATAGATCTATTAATTACTTACAGTTTAGATTACCAATATTGTTCATGTTATCTCCTATTCTAAAAACATTAGCGGCATTGTGGGTGGTATTGTTTGTGAACAATACAATTCATTTAAATACTATCTCATTGTAACTTTTTAAGTGAAAAAACTCCTCTGTCTCGTTATGCCCTAGCACACTGTTTAAACACTTACACGCACATTCATCCGTCTTAGGCACATTACATACTCTACATAAAAGCACATCACAATCATGTTTGAGCTGATCTCAAACGGTCTTCGCTCACTTTATGTTTATCCGACCAACATGATCATAGATAAAGATGTGTACAGGCTACATATGAGACAAGTTGTATGAGAGCGGCAATGATCATAAGTTGGCATGAGACTAATAGGAGTTTAATACAAATTAAGAATATGCTCATGTAGCATAGCGTTTGGTCCAAAGCCGCGCTATGCGATCGTGTTCTTCTCTATTTTGTAGGTATTGCGTGGCTATACTACCTACCAGTGGATCAGCTGTAAGATAAAATTATGTGAAATCCACGTAATAATTATAATGATTATATAAAAGAAAATATACGGTATTTACAGAATGTTATCCCAAGAACGAGAAAGATACATTCCGATACATTAAATATTTACAATGTACATATCATACATCAAATTTAAATAAATTATCATGAATAGTGCGCCTACCTGGATTGCAGTCTGTTAAAAGGGAACATATTGACAATAAGACTTTTGAAATTGTCAACGCAGGGGACCAATTGTCCTTTAATATGTCCAAGCAGATAACTCCTTGACTATTTATATTGCAATGATAGATGCGTGTTCGGAATGTAACCTGTAAAGTAATACATTTGTGTTGGAAATATAAGAGTTGCATAAAGTGTATGTCGCACTATCTAGCTAAATTAAATAAAATGACTGTAAACTTTATAAGAAAATTTTATAGATGCAAAGGATCAATGCAATATTTACCAGATAATTATCTTTGCAGATAATTATTTATTAACAAGTAAAAG